GTATTAAACTGATAAAAATAGTACTAAACACACCACTCCTATCTGGTGTCACATTAGCTTGACCGCGCAGTGCCCCAAATTTAATGTGATCTGTGAGTAAGGTAAACGGTTGTCCATACAAGTAGGTTGCAGCCTTTTGAGGGCCCACACCACCGCCATGCACTCCTTTTCAATGGCAGTGAATATACTTCGCTGTGCAAAAGTTTACGGTTTAGATAAAAATCAATGCCGTGTACACGTCCACTGATAGGAGACGCGGAAGGTATTAAACTGATAAAAATAGTACTAAACACACCACTCCTTTTTTTTGGTGAGGCTTTACAGGACAGAGTGCTTCTCCACGGGACATGTTAACTCACGGGCAGCTGGCTCATCAAGGAACCACAGCAGCTTCCATGTACAGGTAAGACACGTGCAGCCGGTAAGGGTTCAGGCTCTTCTTCCTGGAGGATACGCAAGCCTGTTGAACGAGGTGACCTTGCTCGGGTCCCAGGTGTACGGTTCCTAAAATGGCTGCCATATACACGTCCACTGATAGGAGACGCGGAAGGTATTAAACTGATCAGAACAATACTAAACACACCACAAATAAGGTTTCTCTCCTGTATGGCTCCTCAAATGATGCTTAAGATTAGAAGCGGCTGAAAAGCATTTCTCACACTCAGAACAAAAATATATTTTTTTAACATTCTCTCCACTTTGAACGAAATGACGTTTGGGAAGAGATTAACATAATTAAACACAGGCAGTAAAAATACAGTTTTTAGCCATACCCTGTAACTTTAAAACTACACATCCCATCTTCATAATTACATATTTGGAATCAGCACACTTAAAACATAAACATAACCAAAAATCAGCCAAATCCATCCAGGGGTTAAAAAGTTAGCTGGAGGTCCCTTTATGACCGACTGCAAGCACATTTTCCTGCCCAAAACAGTTCCATAGATTTGGGCTGTGAGGTCGGTCTATTTCAGGCTGAAAAAACGACTAAGTCCCATCGCCGAATGGGACTTAGTCTCTGCAGCTGAAATAAGGCTGAAAAAAACGGCTGAAAAAAAGACTAAGTCCCATCGCCGAATGGGACTTAGTCTCTGCAGCTGAAATAATTTCCCATTTACTGAACCAAGTGGGAAATAGCAAGGCAGGCACAAAGGGTTTGCACCAGGTCTGGGGACACAGGGGACACCGTCTTAAAGGGGCCGTGTCCCCAACAAGTCTGGGGACACGGCCTTAAAGGGGCAGTGTCCCAATCTTCCTGATGTCCCAAAAAAGGTGTTTAAAGGGCCAGCACCAGTCACATAAAGAGTCCATAAGCCCCAATATGCCCACCGACAGTCTTAAAGGGCCATACACACCAAATAAAAGTGCATACATTTTCACAATCTCCCAGGGGCCATAGTCATGCGGGAGGAGGCTGGCAAATAGGCTTCTCCACAACCCAGGGAAGCAGGGCAATTTTCCATTTAAAGGGCCCGTTACAAATAGCAGTTTGTAACAAGGTGTCAATCCATATCTGCCAAGTGACCCGATGTAGGGGACCAGTCCCTATTCTGCTCTGTGTCAGTGTGTATCAGGGAACCTTAGGACAGGTGTCAATCCATATCTGCCAAGTGACCCGATGTAGGGGGAACAGTCCCTATTCTGCTCTGTGTCAGTGTGTATCAGGGATCCTTAGGACAGGTGTCAATCCATATCTGCCAAGTGACCCTATGTAGGGGGACCAGTCTCTATTCTGCTCTGTGTCCGTGTGCATCAGGGGCTCTGAGGACAGGTGTCAATCCATATGTCAAGGTGTCAATATGTCATATGTCAGGTGTCAATCCATATTGATTGTGATTTAGGAATGTTAGGTGATTTCTGCCCTTTATGGATTAAAACCAGACTCTTTATCAACTGTGTAATTTTCCATGGGAGTTTTGCCATGGATCCCCCTCCGGCATGCCACAGTCCAGGTGTTAGTCCCCTTGAAACAACTTTTCCATCCCTATTGTGGCCAGAAAGAGTCCCTGTGTGTTTTAAAATTCGCCTCCCCATTGAAGTCAATGGCGTTTCGGGCGGTTCGCCGATTCGCGAACATTTGCGGAAGTTCGCGTTCGCCGTTCGCGAACCGAAAATTTCGGGTTCGCGACATCACTAGTTAAGAGACAAACAGACAAAGAAGCATTTTTTTGGGGGGGTGGCAAAATTAATCTTTGCCTGTGTAGCAAAAAAAACCCCAAAAAACATTTCTAATAAAAGCATTGTCAAAAATGAAACTGAGGAGGGCGTGGCCTGAACAGTAATGGAGTAGGACGCATCTCCTACCTGCTCCGAGGCCCCAGCTTACATTTGCACCCATAAACGCGCACAGACCGGCCCAGGATGGGTAAATCCAGGAGGCCCCACACCCCGTGCCCCTCGCAAGCAAGCTCGCCGGGTCGCACCTCGGGCCCCTGGAGACATGCGGACCGCACAGGCCGCAACCAAAATGGCGCCGACCTCCCCTGGAGTGAGCAGCAGTGACAGCCCGACACAGGGCTCATCCAGAGGAGAATCACTCTCCCAAATAGCAACTGATGTGGCCACAATCACTGCCAACATGCTGTCACGTGCAGACAAAACAAAAATGCTGGCAGAAATTAGAGCCGAGATTAGAGAGGAAGTTATGGAGGTGAGGAGGGATCTGACTGCCCTAGAAGGCAGGGTGGAGGCCCTGGAAACCGACCGAGCACTGACCGTGCAGCACCAACAAGCCACTGACACAGCCACCTCCAGACAGGGAAACGTCCTACTAGATCTCAGGAGACACCTGGAAGACCTAGACAACCGCGGGCGGAGAAACAATATCCGCATAAGAGGCCTCCCAGAAACCGTGGAGGAAACACTGCTGGAGCTCCTAACAGACCTGTTCACCCACATCCTAGGGAACAGAGCCCCAGATGACTATGGCATTGAGCGAGCTCACAGGGCCCTGCGTCCCGCGTCCCGCGTCCCCAGAAGGGCCATCGAGAGACGTGATCTGCTGCCTGCTCTCCTACGCCTTAAAAGACGATATTATGAGATCAGCAAGAAACCTGCAGAACCTCACCTTCAGAGATGCCCAGATCTCGCTATTCCAAGATCTCTCTGTTCTCACGCTGGAAGCCAGGAGGGCGCTACGCTCACTAACCACCATTCTCAGGGAGCGGCGGATTCCATACAAATGAGGCTTCCCCTTCAGCCTGCAGGCAAAGGTAGGCAGCACATGGCATATTGTCTGATGGCCCGCCGATGTACCACGCTTCTTACAAGCCACAAGCTTACCCGCAGTGATGGTCCCCAACTGGGTTCTGGAGCGGCAACCACAGCGCCCACGTGCTGCCAGCGAAAGGCCGGGCACAGGCCTTACGGGCGGGGGGTTTCGGCAGGGGGTCCCGGATAGCCACGAAGAATAAGGGAGCCCTGTGGAAACGGTCCCACTCTCCGCAAACCAGAACCCCAACTGCAGATTTACCACCACACCTGAGACCCTCTGGCCAATACTGAGAGGCGCTACACGACATTGCAGATGGTCCTCCCACCAACCGTCGGAAGCATCCCTGGGAGCCAGGCACCCCACATTGGCATGACTCCCACACCTCTGGACAAACCACAGCACCTCTGGGTATGTACTCGACCCCCTGACCCGAGCCCGTAACACTGGGACCCAAACCACGCTCACTGGAGGGGACTCCACCTGGTCCACAGGAACACTAGCCACCGACTCCTTTGGGCGGGCGGGCGGGGTGGGGGTCATTGCCATAACGGGGCTGTACTCTCCAATAGGGGACTAGAACTCAATACCTATGCCTGACGGGACCCTCTGATAACGCCGTCCTATGCACCTCCATGGCAGCCAAAGGAAACTTTCGGCATCTACCATTACTTTAACCGGTGCCAACCACGAGGAGTACAGGAAGGCACCTCAGGGGAAAGAGAAAGGGACCTTGTTTTACGACTGTTACATGGTTTATAATGTTGGAAAAGTATTTCATAGATACGTTTATGCATGTATGGAAGGAGTATATACAGGCAGGAAGTTATGGGCCCGTACCAGACAGTTCACGTGTAGGCCACGGGGAGGAGGGGCACCGGGGGCAGGTGGGACTCCCGGGGCGGATACGTAACTGGCCGGATGAACTAAACGCTGTGATATGTGAGCTGGGTGTCAAGGGAATGGTATGTCATGATTCCATTGAGCGACCTAGACCAGAAAGACCGCGGTGACTCACCCCTAGGGTTCCAGACACCAGAAGGCGACAGAACCCGAGGCGAGTCACTGTTGCCTTATTCCCAGACTGACATCCCCTTTCCCCGACACCGGACGGACCTATTCCCCACACACCCCAAAAATCGAGGCACTCTCATACACCCACACTCTTCACAGAACACCGACAGAGATGGGCTCTAAATATAAGCCAACACCACTGACCCTGTGGTCCAATAATGTGAGAGGCTTAAACATCCCCGAGAAGAGATCCCAAATACTCCGCACACTATGGGCGGAGCGCGTCTCGGTGGCGTTTTTACAGGAAACCCATTTTCAGGGCGCAGATGCACCCACCGTGAGGAATAATCGCTACCCCACGGGATTTTATGCAAACCACCCTGATGAGAAGAAGGCTGGAGTAGCTGTCCTACTCTCCAATAATGTAGCATTTGTCTGCTTGGAGCAGAAATCAGACCACGGGGGTAGATACCTATTCATCAAAGGTACCATAGCACAGAACACTTACATGTTCCCCGACAAATTGCGCTAGCTACCGCCCCATATCCCTGCTCAACGCAGACCTCAAACTGTTTGCCAAAACACTAGCCCTGAGAATCGCAAAACACCTACCACATCTGGTCCACTCGGACCAGGTCGGGTTTATCCCAGACAGAGAGGTTAGGGATAACACCATCAAAGCCCTAAATATCTTGCACGTGGCCCGGACGCACCGGCGGGAGCTTCTCCTACTCTCGACGGACGCTGAAAAGGCCTTCGACCGAGTGGACTGGGTATACTTAGAAAACACACTTACACACATGGGATTCGGCCCACACATGCTGTCATGGGTCCTATCCCTGTACACGGGCCCAATAGCACGAAAACGGGTCAACGGGGCACTGTCCGCCTCCTTCCCTATTCGAAACGGAACCCGCCAGGGATGTCCACTGTCCCCCTTCCTGTTTGCCCTCTCCCTGGAACCCTTCCTGGGGGCGGTCAGACGGAACGGGGAAATCACGGGATTCACCGTTGGTCGCAGGGAGTATAGGGTAGCCGCATACGCGGATGACATGTTGTTTTTTCTCACCCTACCGCAGATCTCACTTCCCAACCTCCTTGCCTCATTCCAGGAATTTGGCATGATCTCTAACCTCAAGCTCAACACGGATAAGTCGGAGGCCCTCCACCTCCCAGACACGTACGACCCCGCACCGCCCCTATACACCCAATACCATTTTAAGTGGTGTACCACTAAATTGAAATACTTGGGCATATGGCTTCCCAAAGACATGACCCAACTATACCACCTAAACTATCTCCCGTTACTACAAGCGATACAGGCAGACGTGAAAAAATGGGCCCCTCAATACATATCCTGATTTGGGCGCATTAACGCGGTCAAAATGAACCTGCTGCCCAGAATACTCTACCTATTCCAGACAGTGCCGATCGCGGTCCCCAAAGCGTCCTTTAGCTCCATAACGACCGCCGTCCGTAGATTTGTCTGGAATTCGCGCCCCACACGCACAAAGAGACCTATACTGGAACTGCCGAAACGAATGGGGGGAACAGGTATACCATCAATTGAGACGTACTATCGCGCCACGCACCTACACAGATTCACGGACTGGCACGCACAACACCCTACAAAACAATGGGTTACAATGGAACTAGAACATACGGGAGGGAACATACCCCCCAAATTGTGGCTACATACTGCCACATACGCGGATTTACAAACCAAAAACCCCCTGATAGACGCCACCTTAAGAGTCTGGACAGCGACACGATACCGACTGTGACTCACCACCTCACCCAATCCTCACCCAGTCCCCTGACCCCCATCACACATAACCCGAACTTGGCTGATACACTATCCCGCTGGATTCCAACCTACTGACTGGGTGTACCTACACCAGTGGTACAGCTCCAATGGCCTCAAAACACTCAGTTTAGATACCATCAAATAAAAACATACTACTCAGCCCTGCCGGGACTGGGGCACCTACACAGACCCTTAACCGACTTTGAAACCGCACGTATATCACCAAGGGAATCTCGACCCTCTACACCCTACTCATGACTCAGACCAATGGGGACGTGATGCTTAGGTTAAAGGACCACTGGGAGAGGGACTCAGGAGAGTCACTCCCTGCCCCTGACTGGGACAAGATCTTCACCCTCACACACAAATGCTCAATCAGCTCGAAATATCAAGAATTAAACTATAAGATACTAACATGATGGTACAGAACACCTGACATACTACACTGCATGCACGACAACACATCGGACGTATGCTGGCGATGCGGCACACACCCCGGCACATACATCCACATGTGGTGGACATGCCCGATAATCGCCCCATACTGGGAACAGATTGGAGGGGAAATCCACAAAATCACAGGCTCCGAGGTCCCCCTGAAATCCTTAACAATGCTCTTACACCACACCCGCAGCGCACTGAAAGTATACAAGAAATCCCTAATGCTACCACTGCTAAACGCAGCCAAGTCCCTCATCCCAAAGATGTGGAAACAGCCAGGAGCACCCACCTTACGGCAGTGGGTTGCGACAGTGGAGGACATACACTCAATGGAATCCTTGACGGCCGACCTACACAGGAGACCAGAGCAGTGTGCTTTGACCTGGTATCCATGGGTTACATACATAGCTAACAGGATTGCATCCCCCGACACAACATAGCTGAGACACGCAGAGTCCCGTAACACATACCCTACTTTCCCCCCCACCCTCAGCCACATTAGCAGACTAAGCCCTGCTCGCAACTCACACACTGACAACGGACAGTCCCCTTCCATGACCAGTACTGACAAAAGAGAGCCTCCGTACCTACTTGAACAGACCCCAACACCAACAAGCCCCGATACCCGATAAGTCAGATAACATAAGACAGTTGGTAGCACCAAGATAGGCTCAAGGAATGAAAACCTCGGACTCCCGGAACATAGAAGGAACCCAAAACAAAAACTGTAAACTTTTGACTAATAAACCTGCAGTGAGTAGACAGACGAAACTGGAAAAAAGAAGTACCCCCCGGAACGGGGACACACAAGCAACCCCCCAAATCATTCACCCACTGGTTAGAAACATAAGCTGGAGCAGGGAGGATACTCTTAAGAGAGAAAAACCAAATTCGGGGAACTACGAACAGGACCTCTAGTTGCAGCCAAATACATTGCGCAACAAGTAGCAACACTAACCAAAGCGATAATCTTTTAAGGCAAAAGATGAGGCAACGGGAACGCACTAGCGAAAGCTTATCTAGCAAAGAAAGCCACATATACTAGACATGGGAGAGCGCAAGGGCGAGAACCCCGCAAATACCCGAGTCACGAGATTAGCGACACTAGAGCACACCAAAACTGCAGATGCTAGCCTAAACTTGGGCGGGTACAGTTACGTGAACCAACTGTTGGGAA